CAAACTACCAAAAATCTGGACTGTCCAGATGTCTGGTCACCCTATATATATTCAGACATATTTATCCTTCTATTTGTATATGGCACTTAAGCGGAAAATATTTTTCAGAAAATAAATATTAATTTTGTGAAATGTAAGCCTCTAAAATTTTGATCTAAAGGTTGGTAGGTATGAAAGGAAAAGACTTAGTGCATAATAAATCCTGTTGTAAATAAGAGTATTTCACCAAACAATGACGACAGAAAAAATAAGAGGGAATCTTCAATAGCCGTGGCACTTGAAATTCTTTTAGGCATGATCAGAGTATATTAATCTATGAGATATTTCCCCTTTTTTATTAGCTATATTTTTGTGCGCCAGCAATACCGAGCGTGATGCGCTCACATACCCGATTCACTTTTATTACTCATCAGGATCTCTATCAGCCCACCCTCAAATTGAAATTCTTTTAGTCAGTATTAGAGTAAATTAATCTATGAGACTTAAGACGTGATCAGATACATGAATCGAAAGAGCTTCACTTCCTGAGTCCAAAACTGTAATTGGATCTCAAATCGGTCAAGAGATGACAGAGTTATGAGCTAAAAGTTTATACTTAAAAAAAAAACAAAAAAAAACTCAGCGCCGTTCTATGAGCCACTATGCCGCGGCTAAAAAATTTGGAAACATTATTGACTTTTGCTTGTATTAATGTGCACAGAATTCATTAGTTTATAAAGTTAATATAATCGTGTCCATTTACCCAGTGATATATATATATATATATATATACTTACCCATCTGTGGCTCAGCGGTAAATGTGAGCGCTTATAATACTAAGAATTAGGCCCGGCATGGCCAGGTGGTTAAGACACTCGACTCGCAATCTGAGGGTCGCGGGTTCGAATCCCTGTCACACCAAACATGCTCGCCCTTTCAGCCGTGGGGGCGTTATAATGTGACGGTCAATCCCACTATTCGTTGGTAAAAAGAGTAGCCCAAGAGTTGGCGGTGGGTGGTGATGACTAGCAGCCTTCCCTCTAGTCCCTCTACACTGCTAAATTAGGGACGGCTAGTGCAGATAGCCCTCGTGTAGCTTTGCGCGAAATTCAAAAACAAACAAATACTAAGAATCATATTTCAATACCAGCGGTGGGTACAGCCCATTGTGTAGTTTTGCGCTTAACAACAAACAAACAGTTCGTCCCTACATAAATATAACTTCATTTTGTGTAAGAAAAGTCCTAGGTCGTCATTGTGAGAATAATTTCAGAAACCCTAACTAAAAATAAAATCGTTTTATGATACGTGGAATAATAAAGTGTTCGATACATGAACAAACAACTCATGAAAAATCATTCTCACAAGAGATAGGATTTTATTTTTGGCAGGAGAAAGATATATACATTTGTCACTAACCGCCATCTTTTGAGTGATTTTTGTACTTCTGTAGCCGTAGGAAACATCATAGGTTTAAAATGGAGTATTTGTGTTGGAGTACCGTAAGCAATATACTTATATCTCTAGTACATGAACCACGTTTTCAAGAAGAGGGAAGAGGCTAGTCCTGTCTGGGAACATCACAGGTTTAAAATGGAATACTTGCGGTGAGGTACTGTAAGCAATATACTTATATCTCTAGTACATGAACCACGTTTTCAAGAAGAGGGAAGAGGCTAGTCCTGTCTGGGAAACGATAAATCTCTCAAGTCTGCTGTCATAGCCATAAATAACATATTATTAAATGTAGTGATTCAGCGATTAGAACACTTTTTTGAACGTGAGTTCATTTTGGTTTTACAGAAGTAATGAAACTTAAACAATACATTGTAAACCTAGGAATATAGTTCCTTGTTCATGTCTAGCGTAAAATTTGTTTTTCTAGGTTATTATCCCGAGTTCATATCCCAGTTTTATCTAAGATGAATGATTTAACTAAAAAACATCTAGCATGTTATTCTCGCAACGTTGTGTGTATTACATAAATACGTATAAATATAGATTACATTATTGTGCTTGAAGACAAACTATAGACTTGGCATTAACTATGTTTTTAATATTTTAGTTAAACAAATAATATTGCTAGCAGCCACTATTTAGCTAGGATTCGAGTAGTTTCTACAGAAAAAATCGACGATGACCACTAATAATATATAGTGAACCCGTGTTGAAATACAAAGTTTAGTTTGGCTTTTTACAAGACACACTGGAATTCGAGCGTTACATGGGATGAAAGTAAAAAGGATGGTATTAAGAGTCGCACATGGTATAAACAATTTCTGAAATCTGAAATAATATGGCAGTTTCAAAGGAATAACAAAAGAATCATCATCTCGAAGAACTCGCATCTCAAATATCTTAAACCCATAGCATGTATTGCCATCTATCGTCAACATTCATTATTACCAGTGAAATATGAAACTAATCGTCTCATTGAAGAGCCCCGCATCTCAAATAACTTTTCAAAGTATTTGAATTTTAAACACGAGTTTGTTCTCTTAAGATTTAAAACACAACATTGACATTATATAACATAACAAATGACCCACATAGTTAATGTAGACAGAAAAAAATACGTATTTTAAGAGTTCGGAGGTCTAAAGTTTACAGTATATAAATTTGTCGTTTTTTAGGCTTCAACTTTCGACAAACTACGCGTATACAAATTGGCTGAAGCTTCATCATGTAAATATCATTTCCCTACTTTTTAGCTGGAAAAATAAGAAATTAATATTTGAACATTTCACTGAACCGAATATTCCCCCCCACTGATATTTCCATCTTGATTGCTACCATTATGTTCGTAGGTAAGAAGCTCAACAAGACATTTCTGCGGCTATAAAAATAAATGTATATTCTTAGTTATACTTAAAGTGATAAACATAAGCAACAAGTCGGTAATATTAATCCCATATCGCTAGTTAGTTTTTAAATGATACTAGCTACATTTGGCAGGAAAAACTCTTTAATAGCAAACCTTCTTGTTACAGCTTTGGAAAAAATATTGTTCATGATGAAGTTATTAGGTAAGAAAGAAAATAAACTACTGAAAACCTGTGCTGAAGCGCTACAGTTAATGATTAGATATGCTAGAAACCTGAACAGGGCTTTACGTAGATTGAATAACAATGAAAAGAAACATTTTTTTTTTCATTTATATTTTAATAATAAAAAGTGATCTTATACAATCTACATAAGGTTACAGCTGTATACATAGCAGTGGCGTAGGAAGCGGAAGTGTGTGTGTGGGGGGGGGTCCCACGTTTCAATCTGTCTCAGTAAAACTTCATCAAAATTAGGAAAATTACTCTCTGGAAGGGCAGGAGCATGCATAAAATTTAATCCAGAAACCAAGAGCTTCCAGGGCTCTAAGGCGAGCCCTGGACTCCGGCCGTAATGGGAACGGTTCTGGCTCACATTCCCTTGCTTCGCTTGGTCAAATAAATCTTGTCGCCTCTTTTAATTTGCCTCCTACACCTCTGCATAGCAAGAGTTTAGGCAGTTTATAGAATATAATGACAAATTGTCAGTTTCAGATATAATTTAGTAAATATGACCAACCAATAGCGTTTCGATAGCACATCAATTTAGAATTCATTATATTTAGTATATTTATGAACATTAAAGTTTAAAGTTAAGAAACTTCACCCGATAATTGTAAGCAACAAATCAATACAATAAAAAAAGTAAAACAAAAACAATTTTATATGATACAATTGTTATGATAAGTCAATTGCTAGTTCAGAAAGAATGTTATCGAGTAGTTTACAAACGTCCCTTGGTGGGACAGCGATAATTTTACAGACTTACAAGGCTAAAATTCGGGGGTCGATTCCTCGTGGAGGAGACAGCAGATGGCACAAAGTGGCTTTGCTCTAAAACAAACAAATAAATAACAAACACTGAAGTAACGTATGAACATAACAAACACTGAAATAACGGCACTCAGCTAATAACCCTTGTTTCGAGAGTAAAGAACGATAAATACATAGGAACTGCACGGACTTTAATGTATCTTTGTTTGTAAACAATAAAATAATTAATTTGTATGAACATAACAAACACTGAAATAACGGCACTCAGCTAATAACCCTTGTTTCGAGAGTAAAGAACGATAAATACATAGGAACTGCACGGACTTTAATTTATCTTTGTTTGTAAACAATAAAATAATTAATTTGTATGAACATAACAAACACTGAAATAACGGCACTCAGCTAATAACCCTTGTTTCGAGAGTAAAGAACGATAAATACATAGGAACTACACGTACTTTAATGTGTCTTTGTTTGTAAACAATAAAATAATTAATTTGTATGAACATAACAAACACTGAAATAA